TAGACCGAGTCTATCTGACACTTATTTTCCGACCCCTCCAACAGAGCCTCCTCATAGACCAGAAGATTAGTCAATGTAGATCTTCCCCTAATAAAGCCATGCTGTTCCAGTACAATAACATGTTTTAAAATTGGTGTAAGAAAATCCGTCATTATAGACTCAAATACCTTAGAAACCTATAGTTTTTAATATCATTTCTTTGTCCACTTTTAAACACAGGAGTTATATAGCTTAATTTTCACATATCAGGAAACAGTCCCAACTCTAAAGCCTTATTAAATTTTTTACATAATATCTCAGAAAGAACACAACTACAATTCTTAACAAACAATACTGAGATGTCATCTGTACCACAACCCAATCCATTCTTCAATGAATGTATCTTGTTGAATATATCGAGAGGGGTAATTTGAACTAAACTGATATTACAATTAGACAAACTAGATAAATTAGATAAGAGACAGGAATATTTCGATCATTCTCAACACCCATCTCAGTATAAATAGAGGAAAAACTATCCTTAAAGAGATTGACAATTTCATAAGGTGTGCTACCTTCATGCTTATCAAAAAACATAGAACTCGGATATCCACGATTTTCATTTTTCGATCGTACATATCTCCAAAATCCATTTCTGTCCTGTGTCTCGGACTCGAATTTCTCAATGAAAATCTGATGGCTAATATGAGAATAAATTTTACATTCTATCCTAATTTCTGAAAAAACTCTATAATCCTGAGTGGACATGGTATTTTTATAGTTTTCATGTGCCATTTTTTTAGACAAAATTAAATATTTTAAATGATTATCTATCCATCTTGGAAATTTTTCGGTTTTTTTTTTTTTTCGAAATGGGTGTGAAAAGAGGAGAGTTTATATCATCCATATCAACAAAAGAGTCCCAATCTACACAAGACAGATAAATATTTAAATCCCTAGAATTTCAATTCTTATAATCTAGAAAACAATAATCATACTCCAACTTTTTTTTTTTTTTTTTTACGGATATGCGCACTCGCAAGGAAATGTCCTATCACGCTCGAGAAGCGGCAAGTGCGCGGAAATGTCGGTGTATGTTGGTCTTGAAACGGTTCAGGTTGTAACCTGCAGGGAAAACCGTCGCAGGGAGTTTATTCCACAGCGATGTGTGCTAAACTTATTAGAATTAATATCTGAAATCAATATATCAAAAACTAAAGCGGGATGAGGTGTGTCCAATTTCAAAAGTGGATCGTTCGATATTGAGGTAAAGTCAGTTGCATGGTTCTTGAGCTGCGCAGTCTGAAGAGGCAGCGGGGAAAATTCCACATAAAAGCTGGGCTAACGTTTGATATCATAGGCGTGCGTAATGTTATTTTTTCTATTATAAGATTAAAATTTATTTTCAGATTTGCAAATTGCGTTTGATGTTGGGTGATTCGTATTCGTTCCTTCTTCATCGCAAGCTCTATATATATTGGCTATTACCTCCCTTGTTTGACTATGAAGATTTTTTTTTTGCGTAAATTTGTCCATCTTTTTAAACACCTTTTGGCTACGCCACTGAATAAAACTTTGATTGTCCAGAGACGCCAGTGAAACAAAATTTAAAATGTGCCCGCCTAGCTGATGGCGGCGACGGCGCCATCGCCTGGTTGTGGTGGGATACAATCGCTCAGTCATTTTTTCCTATTTTATATACGGAGAGTACGGCTCGATTCGAAACGTTCCACATAAGTGATCTCAGTGATGCCGGATTTCGGAAAAAAAATATGGATTTTCAACGATGTATGATTTATTAAATGGATAAAATGAATGTTTAAAAAATATTAATTATGGTATCATTATACTTGTATGTTATTTTTAGAATATTATTCGATTTGAAGAATAGTATTCTCCATATTTCGAAGACGAAGGAGATTTTATTACAATTTTCATGTATGATTATTATTGATATGACAACGCCGCAATGACGAATTTTCCCCTCTGCCTCTTCAGACTGCGCAGTTCAAGAACCATGCAACTGACTTTACATACATCTTTATTACTACTAAATATCAAATCAAGAAAGTTCCCATAAATATTAGAAATATTATTTACTTGATATAAGGTGTGAAAAGCCATGCAATCAGCCAACTCTGTGGTTTGTTCAGATTGTTTACCAATAGCTCTAGTCTCATGCAAATCATTGATCCAGGACACATCCGGTCTATTAAAATCTCCACATAAATAGATTTCCAAGTTTTGACAACTACTACATATTTTCAACGCAGCTGTTACAGATGAGCAGTAATTTTCATAAGTATCTATAGGAGAATCTGGGGGCAGATAAGCATTGCTCAACAAAATTTGATGCTTTTTCAAAGAAACCAGTACAAAAATGTGTTCCACTGATTCAAATTGGGTAGATATCGGTCTACAATTAAGTGACCTCCTCACTGCAACAATAACACCCTCTTGTGACTTATGTACACTGGTTTTATCAGAACGATCACAGCGAAATATTAAGTAATTACTCATTCCCAATTCGCTCCACAAAATGTCTTTGTTCAGAAAAGTCTCGGTAAATAACACAAAATCATATTGCACAAAAGGGTGTCTAGTTTTGTTCTCAACCCCCTAACATTTTGATAGTAGCCTGTTAGAGCTACCCTGTTGCTAGAATATGCGTCTCCTGAACAAAATTTGATGGTCGATCATTTCGAGGTGTTCTTTCTTGCTTGTTATTCAATCGTGAATCCAGCCTCACCCCTTCATCTCTAGACTGCCATGGTCTAAATTGAAATTCCTTTGAAACCACTCCCCGAGGCCAACAGTTACAATCATTGATAGTATCAAAGTAGTTTTTGGCAATACCAAGCTTAAACGATTTCATCCTGTTTCTGACCACCAACTTCTGAACAGAAAGATTGCTATCATCAACTTTAAGTTTATTTTGTACAAATTCGTGCACCACATCTTCACTAACTTCCTCCGAGAAGCGACACACGTAAAGCCAGGATCTATTGGAGAACGGAACAATTTTTAATGCCTCAATTGACTGACCGGTGCCAACCATGGTCCCTGACCTCTGCTGAGTTGCAAATATGAATCGATTCACAGCACCAGTCATTGTACTCATATTTAACATAAAAAAATAACATATAAAAGTAAACTTAGTGTAGGTATCACTGGTTGACACACATGTCGGACCTATACCGTAACTTTGGGGTCTCGCAGTTTGACAAAGTATTGCCAGCAGGAATAATGTGAACATATAACATAAAAAGCAAAATTAAAAAATCAAATATCACATTTACATATGTCAGGGATATACACACACATAATATTAGGTCAAAACATAACATATTTCACTCAAATATTAAAAGTAATAAAGGTTTGCAAAACCCAATATACCAGGCGTCAAAAAGTTTTGATTCTCTCTCAGAAAATATTAGGAATATAGCAAAATATAGAAAATTTGTAGAAAAAGCTAAATAATACATAAATTAACATATGTAACCTCTAATGTAGTTTATATAGTGGGCTGTGCTAGTGCGCATTTTCCTTATGTTTTGATTAAGATTTTTTGTTCCTATACGGAACTGTTAAAAATATCTGGCGTAATTATCCTTGTTACCAGTATTCTAAATACCTACTGCTTAGAGGATTTAATGTAGATAACATAATTGCTTACTTAAAAAATATTTTCAAACAAAACTGATATTTCCATGTATTAACAGATATTTCTATGTGATGCAAGTTATTTCCAACTACTTACTGCTTATTGCCATGTAATAAAATATTTCCACATATTGCTAGATATTTCCCTAGTATCTATTACGTATTGCCATACTATTGACAGACTAAAATCAAATATTTGTCATTTATCTCGCCAGATTTCCAGGTATTGACATATTATCCACAGGTATTCACATGTTATCAACGGGTATTAACATATATTGCCTTGTAGATATTCACAAGTATTTACACATCTTTAAAAACAAGCATTCATAAATCTCAGTGTGGTGTCATTATTACAGTTAACAATAGACTAAAATGCAAATTACTATCCACTGATGTGGAATCCCCTGAACAGCTTTTTGTAATGGTCTCAATAGAAAACAACCAGTTATTGTTTGGTAATGTTTATATTTATTTCTCCTGTTGCTCGATGTGAAGTATACGAGGAGTATACATCTATTATACAAGTCCTTGAGGATTATGCTGTCATTGATTATGCCTGTGGTAATACTAATGTTTTTTTATGTGGTGACTTCAACAGACCAAAGGTATTGTCGGCTAACGATAATAATGGGTGCAGGCCAACTGGGTTGATCACAGACCAGACCAGATGCATAGCAGATTGTATGTCATTTTTTAATTTAAATCCACTCAATCAACTTAAAAATAACTTGGACTTAATCTAGGATAGAAGCAATAGGAGTGATTTGTCAATGGTTGCATTTGCTAATCTCAAAAAAAAAATTAGATAAACCGCACCCTGCATTAGAATTTGTTGAGGGATATTGACAAATCAATAAATAACTTATCAACTGATCACTTCTATTGTAATTTCTTTTTTTTAATACAAAACATAAAATATAAAACCTATATGCCCAATTCAAAAGAGCCCTAAGCTGTTATAAAGTTACACTAAATACGATTAAATGGTGACAATACTACTTGGATCAGTACTGAAGTTTTACTGAATGTTAAATATACTTTTTAATATTTGGCACATCTAAGGAGACCTAGTTCAATTACAATCCCTATATTGTATAGGCTATTTAAGATGTATATACCTAGTACAAAAATATCACAGCTTTTTTTTTCCTTCTTTCTACAAGAGATTTTACTTAAAGCTATCAAGCAAAGCCAAGTGATTTTACCATTTTACTGAGAATATGGATATATTTTTCATTAAACTTTATTTTGGACTGCCTGGAAGAAAAGACGCTATTGCAATTGCTACTAGAATGAACTTCATTTTCTTCCACAAGTTCCACAAGGTAGGTATTTGAATTGGCCTTCGTTTTCAGGGAAAAACCATGACAGCACAAGGCCAATCAAACCGATGGTTTCTGAAAAATACTTGTTCGGCAGAATTAATTGAAATTCATAAGTCACAAGAAGCTCCAGTAGGACGCCATCGCGAAGCAACAGTCTGCTTGCGGAGCGGTAAGGTCTCCCGCTACCATGCCTGTCTCGGCCTCACCAACGATGGCAAATTATGGCTGAAAGATCTTAAAGTAAGTTACATTATTCATTATGCGGTTGGTTTAAGTTTGAGTATTTTTTTTTTAGAGTTCTAATGGAACATATGTCAATGAAACACGCATAGAGCCATTTGAACTTGAATTAGTCGATAATGGGGCAAAATTAGGTTTTGGTCTGGCATCAATTGATGGGGCAGAAGAAGAAAAAGATGAACTAATTTTTTGGGAAGTAATGCACCGAAGGGAAAACGATGATGATGATAAAAATACATCATTAAATGACATTGAAAAAACTCCCAATCAGGTTTCTGCGGTTGTACAAAATGGGGGAACATTCGAATTTGCAAGCAACAAAAATGAAATCATTGAAGTTTCCGATGAGGACATTGAAGTAAATTGTGAGAAATCGAAAAATAAAAAAGTTAGTGAACGAAGTTTTGAACCGCAACCAGGTACATCAACTAGTGAAATAGAAAAAATACTTGAATCGTTTGAGGTTGAAGTTACTAAAGTTGTCAGAAGATCCAATATTGAATATGGAGATTACTCAGTGAATGAGAAAGAAGATTCATCGAGTAAGCAAAAAGTAGATGAAATTCCTCACTTATCCTCTGAAAATGAAGGGAATGAAAATAATTCGAATAAAAAAGAAAAGCTATCAAGTAAACGAAATGAAGATGAAATTGCTCAGTTATCGTCTAAGGATGAAGTGAATGGAAATAATTCCAATGAAAAAGGAGAGCCACTAAGTAACCAAAAAGAAGATAAAATTCCTCACTTATCCTCTAAAGATGAAGTGAATGAAAATAATTCCAATAAAAAATGTGAAGATAAAAAAGAAAAAGACGACGACTCTGATATGTCTGACAACGACTTCAGCTGCAGCCAAATTTTCCACATGTCACAAATTCCGGATCCGGTGGATTTTCAAAAAATCAAAGACGAAATGGCTGAAATGAATTATACTGAGGACCCATTGATTTTGAACCCAACTCCGATAAGTATCGATGACGGATATGACAATACCCAAGAGATTGTTGATATTTTGGATAATGACTTTGATGATACTATTGAGTCCATTTTTACTACTAAACCACCATCGGCAGAATGTTCCACTAGTAACAATTTGAAATCAGCAAAAGCTTCACCAAGAAAATCGTCCAGGCTTGAATCTCGACAACCAGCAGATTCACTTACTAGAAGGAAAAGTTGTTTGGATTCTCCTAAGAAGAAAAAACTTGGAAATGACTCAAATAATACAGCAGATTCGCTTACTAGAAGAAAAAGTTGTTTGGATTCTCCTAAGAAGAAAAAACTTGGAAATGACTCAAATACATCTAGAGCCAGTACCAGTAAAAGACAACTTAAAAGAAGGCATAGTTCAACAAGTGAAGCAAACAAAGTTGAAACTCTTGACTTAGAGAAACAGATGGAATTGATTTGTAATTCTAAGTCACCAAACAAAAACAATGTGTTAAAGGAATCCAAAAGAAATTCTAGACGATCTTTGGAACCAGATAAAGGTAAAAAACCAAAACTAGATAAACAGTTGACGTCAAGCCCTGATAAAAATCTGTCAAAAGAATCAAGAGGAAAGCGAAAATCATCGCTTGGAGAATCAAAGGCATCGAAAGAATCTGAAAGTAAGCACAGGAGATCTTCAGTTAGAATAGATAAAAGGGAAAGCTCAAAACCAGAGGAGAAGTCAAGTGAAAAAAATGTATCACTTGAAGCCAGAAAAAAACTTACACCATCTACTGAAATAAATAAAATTAAAAAACCCGATCTAAAGAAATCATTGATGACATTGAGATCTAACTCTGATTCATTTGATAAACAAAAAGTCTCTTTGGTCAACAATAATAGGGATTCATCGGATAATCGACTTGTAGATACCAGATTACATTCACGTCCTACACGTTCAAAAAATATATCGATGGAATTTCATAGAGATTCATCTGATAATCGCCCTGTAGATCCCAGAATACATTCCAAATCTAACCGAGCAATAAATGTCTCGGTGGAGCTCAATTCACCTGGATCTTCAGCCAACGATAAGGGAAATTTGTCAGATAATCCGCCTATGGTTGCTTCAATATTTAGTTTACCTGCTCCACCTTGCCAGTTGGAACCTCCTCAAGAAATAGTGGTAAATTTTCTTTTTCAAAAGCCTGCCATGAAGTAACATGTTTATTTATAGCAAGAAAACTACAAAAGGCGTCCTGATCCAAGGTTATGCCAACAAATGACTCGAAAACAAACTTTTACAGGTGAAGTGATTAACGAAAGACAAACAAATGGGAGAGTGGCTAGCTACAAGTAAATATTTTTGCTTTTATTGTAATTGAGGTTATTTTCTAGAAATTTCTATTGTTGCTTCTGACATTGAATTTTTAATTCCTTTCTTTCAGAATTGCTACTGTTAACATTGACAAAATAATTAACAAAATCTTGAAGTGGGACACATCTTGGCTCGAGTATCAATTGACGTCACTCAGTTTTGAACCTCGCGTAAACGAAAGTGCTGCCGAAAAGATACCTTTGAAATTTCCTAACTTCAAACGATACTTTGAGATTTTCAGTAAACTGATTTTTCTGGAGACTTGGGAATCTATTTTCAGGTCTTATGTAGATTCAAGGCGGTGAGAATACTTTTATTTTTAGATAAAAGTTTTATGGCAAAATTTTCTAGATCACAAGCAAGGGTTCAACCAATAGTTCAAGGTATGCGAAAACATGAGAGTTTTACGTATTTGGATTGCCATTGTAAGTAAACTTGCTTACATAAACTACCTACTTCTATAGCTAGAATTTCTAGATGATATAACTGCAGTGCAGAATGAAAAGGGCGACTTCTGCAAACAAGATGATTTGATTTTGGTTGAATATAACGCCATGGGTTTGCGCAATGCCAAAATGACATTTGGATTAGTACAAATTTCTAAGTCTATACAAAATATTAAATCTTGTAAGTGCCAATACTTGCATCTTTTCAAATATTGACATTTTTATTTGTTTTAGATAAATATTATGCAAAAATTCATTTTACTGTAATGGTATCGTGTGATTTGTTGATCAATTCAAATAATGGCTCTTTGCCAAGGGTTATTATCCAACGGGTTGCCAACCTTCGTACACAAATTATAATGTTCAAGGTTCTAGCAAATTTTGACAAATCCCCGCTTCAACCTATGCTTCTATACCCTAGAATCAGTGACTTCAAGATTGCGGTTACACATGAGAAATTTATAGTACCGCCAGTGGTATGTTATTGCTTACAGGTATATAGCAAAGAATTGAAATTAATTATCATTCAATTTTAGGAAAAATTGAATAGTCAACAACAACGTAGTGTCTTAGAAGCAGCCAGTCTCTGCACCGGCGATAAACCTGGAATTTATACCCTTATAGGTCCGCCAGGCACGGGAAAGACTCACACGATTGTTAATATATTATTTCAGATTATCTTTAATCATTATTTTGGCAAAGCTAAATCTAAGCCTCCTATGATTTTATTAGTAGCGCCCTCTAATGCTGCTGTAGATTATTTGATCACTAAAATAGTGAGTCTCAAAGAAAAGCTACGTGAAGGTAAGTTTTAATTATTTATTTAATTAAATTTAGTAAACTGGACTGCACTGGAAAATCGTGCAAACAAATAGAAATAGAAATGAAAATGATGTCAAAACACACAAAACTTATTGCCACTCATTATAAGTTGTGCATATATAAGGGGATCCCCTGGAAAACGGTTCTCGACAACCTCCAACGTATCACCATCGACTTAAGGCACTTAAGGTCCCTTTTTAACGGCACAAGACATTGACTTTTCGAACGTAAAACACGGAACCGGTAGAAAATGCAACCTGCATATCAAGTACCATTTAGCTAGTGTGTGTAAATCCAAATCTTCAACAGCTATCTGCTTCGGCGCAGGATCGTAGAAAATACACTCCTGTGTGTTTTACGCGAAATTGACATTTAAGTAATTCTTTAATAAGAATGAGAAGAAACCAAATTTGTAAATAATATTGCGTTAACAGAAAGTTTATTATCATTATATATTATTTTTCAGAACTCAAACGAAAAATCAAATGTGTTAGGATTGGTCCAATGACCAGTATAAGTAAGGCAGCGAGATGTTATACATTACAACATTTCGCAGAACGACATGTCCCAGTTTTACGCCAACACATACCTGAAATACAGGTATAGAATTAACAATGGCCAATTTTTTTCACACCCCTTAATTTCCTGCTAATTTTTTTTTTAGGAAGCCAGAAAAAGAAAAGTAGATGTGGTAGAATTTTGTAAAGAGTTCTTTGGAAAAGATTACCACAAGGAACTGAGAATTAGTGAAAATATTTTGATGGAAAACAGCAACATAATATTAACGACTCTGGGCAGTTGTGCATCAAATGCGAAGATAATTGAATCTATACGAAAGTAACTAAATAAAATTCCACAGTGAAATTGTTGATAACATAAACGAAATTATTTCAGGGGTCTAATTCATCCTACTTGCTGCATTATAGACGAAGCCACCCAATGTCACGAGCCAGAATCTCTTCTTCCTACCATGTTGGGAATCGATAAAATTGTTATGGTAGGAGATCCCAGGCAATTGAATGCCACCATTTTGAGTAAGGTAACGTGCCAATAACTACTTTTATATTGAAAATATTCAACAAAACAATTTCAGGAAGCCTCACAATTAGGCTTTGGTGAAAGCTTGTTTAGTAGGCTGGTGAATAATTTCGAAAAAGCGCGCGAGTCGCCTATTCAAATGCTAACAACCCAATATAGGATGCATCCGGAAATATGCAGCTTCCCTAACCGAAAATTTTACCAAGGAAAATTACAGTAATATTTCAGTTTTCCTTGGATTGGAAGAATTTTTCTATTATAATTATTCTTCTAGGTCACAGCCAAATCCAAAAAACAAACTACCCGATATAATTAAACCCTATTTAGTATTCAATTGTACAAATCAAGTTAGTCAAGATGATTCAGACTATACCAACCCAGAAGAAATGCGTTTGATAAAAAAATTACTAGCCACAATAATCCAAGTGGTAAATAATAAAAAACTGAAATATTCAGTGGGCATAATCACTCCTTATAATGCCCAAAAAAGTTTAATTCACGATAATCTTAAAGATATAGGGTAAGTCTTTTAATCTATTCTGAATTATTTGGTATAATATATTGAAACATTCTAGGAAAGATAATTCAAATTGGGAAATTAACATTAACACAGTGGACAGTTTTCAAGGATCCGAACACGATATCGTTATAATTTCGTGCGTACGTGAATCGACAAATAGTTTTGTACAAAATGTGAATAGACTGAATGTAGCTTTGACGCGTGCTAAACAGGCCTTGTACATCTTTGGGAATTCGACTTTATTTAGAGTAAGAATTGGGAAAGTAACAAAAGGCAAATTAAAGTGTTTTTTTTTAGGAATGTCGGCCATTGTACGATTTGAGAGAAGATGCCAGGGACAGAAAGGTCTGCTTAGATATTAATTCGAGGTCGCAAAGTATGAAGGATTTTCATCAATATCTTTGCAGACAGTAATAATCATTTTTGGTAATTTTCACTTTTTAATTTATTAGTTGTTATAAGTATGTATAATATGTTGTCTTATTTAATATTATTATAGTAATAATGTTGATTCCTGTAACTACAAAAATAATATGTAAATATTTTGTTTAATTAAAACTTTTTACAATGTGTGGCGATTTTAATTCAAATGGAGATTAGATGGGATTTATATATCAGAGGTATTAGTCAAATTTCTCAGAGTTTGTAGCTCCCATTGAGTACTTCAATCAATGATTTTCAATACCTTATTTGGTGATATTTTGATTACTTATGGTTTTTGAGCTTTTTGATCTCGAGGTTTTTGATGAAATTTGAGGAAAATTTCAAATTTGAAGCCTAATGACTCAAAACTTCTAGACGCAACTAGTATCATTTTTGGAGGTTTTATAGCGAATTCTATTCTCTGGCAGAAAACTTATAATACTAGTTAGTTCGTTGAGAATGAGGATTACCAAAACTGTACGTCGGACTGTAAGAAAATTTCTGAGGTCAAAATTGAGATTTTTTTCTTAGATTTTTTTTCTCATGAAATTACCATTCCCGAAATAATTTGGGATTGGTTTTCCACAAATTTTAACCTTCCCTGTCGATTGGGAAAGTTCAATTTCAGAAATAAATAAAAATTAATTATTTTGATTTTCCAGACTACACCCTTTGAATTTTTAATTGAAATATGATAGGTGCCTATCAAGTCAAATTTTTCTGAGTTTGTAACTCTCATTGAGTACTTCAATTCCTTATTAAAAAAAATATTGAGATGTTATGTAGTAATTGATATTTTTGTAGCGTGAATAATTCTGTCACATCTTAAAATTTCGTGGTAAATTATGTTGAAAAGTAAATTTGATCTGAAGCAGTAAATAACAATTATCTGAACTTGAGGCAAACTAAACGAAATCTTCTTTCGTCTCTTCTTGCAGTTGTTATTGAAAGGTTATATTAGAAACTCAAAATTAGTACCACTTTCCACTTAACACTTTCAAACCAGAAAATGAAAAACTAAGATTTGGTTCCAAATCTGACACTAATGGAATTAATGCATCTCCAGAGGATTTAAAGCAAATGCTAATTAAGGACTTTCCTGAAGTGCAATGCGAATTACATCAATCCAAGAGACCCGAAATTTATTCATCAATGAAAGTAACAATAAACCAAAATAACTTCAAAAAAGCTTGACGTAGAGAAGCGTGGCCAAATGGAGCTTTAGTCTCGAAGTTTTTCATGAAGAAGAGGATGCCACTGGAAAATTAAGTGGATCCTCAGGTGAAGAATGTTGCAAGGTGGTAAGTGAAAATATCAACTGTAATAAAATAGCGTTAAACACTTACTATCAAAATGTACGTGGCCTAAGAACAAAGACAGAAACCCTTTATACAAATATTCTATCTGAGGATTATGACTTTATAGCACTCACAGAGACATGGCTTAACGACAGTTTTTTCGATGGCGAGTTAATTGATGAGAGATTCACAGTTGTAAGAAAAGACCGCAAACCTGGCAAAGCACGAGGAGGAGGGGTACTACTGGCGTTGAAAAAAGCAATACCTTTTGAAGTAATTAATTATGACTATGATGGTGAATGTGTTTTAATTAAGGTAAATTATAAGAATTTTATTTTATTTGTCTCTGTTGTCTATATAGTTCCTAATAGCAGTGTAGAAGTCTATGAGTCCTATTTTAATATTTTTGAAGAACTGATGTTGGAGGAAAATAGTAATTTACTGTTACTCGGCGACTTCAATCTGCCACATCTCCAAACTGATATCAACTGTGATAAGAGTATTATTATGCAGCAGTTCCTGAATATGTATGATATGCAACAGTATAATGGCGTGGGTAACAGTATGAATAGGTTTTTGGAGCTGATTTTGTCGAATCTGACAGTTTTTAATGTTGGTAGGTCTGACAGTCCTTTAATTGTTGAGGATGACTATCATCCAGCACTAACTTTTAATTTGAATATTGATAAACCACAACCTGAAAAAAGGCATTTTAAAAGATTTAGATTTGATTACTCGAAGGGAGATTTTATATTGTTATACAAACTTTTTGAATAATGTGATTGGGCTGACCTGCTGGCATGTTCAGATGTTGACAAATGTATAGATGTTTTTTACGGTAAGATGTACAGTTTTGTAAATGCTTCAATTCCACAAGTTGAGGTAAGGGAGCACAGCTCGGCGGCTAAATTTCCATCTTGGTACTCCATCGATCTAGTTAAAAGCATTAGAAAGAAAAACCGCTTACATTCTTTAGTGCTTGAAAAAATGGCCACTCCTGATGAGTGCAGCATGTATCAGAAACTTAGAAAAAATGTGATATCTCAAATTAGGACTGAATATAAATTACATAACCAGAACATTGAACAAAATATATCCAATGAGCCAAATAACTTTTGGGGATTTTTACGCGGTAAAAAGGGTCTTAGTGGATTGCCAAACAAGATGGAGTTTGATACTGAGCTTTTTGAAGGTCCCGAAAATGTTGCGAATGCCTTTGCTCATTTCTTTAGCTCTGTATATGAGAAATGCAATACTCGAGATACTGTCACAAATACTGAACGATGGGGCTCATTCAAATTTTCAGTCATAACTGAGGCTGATGTTAGAAATAGCATAAAAAATCTTAAACCCAAAAAAGCTACCGGGCCTGATGAAATACCATCATGTATATATAAAGGATATGTTGATTTTTTAATAAAACCACTAGTTTTTATGTTCAATCTAGCAATTGAACAAAACAATTTTCCACATCTATTAAAAATGGCTGTTATTACACCTATATATAAAAGTGATAAGAAAGATAGTATTGAAAATTATAGGCCTATAAGCTTTACTGAAAGGCATAGCCAAAATATTTGAAAATATTCTCTATATTAACCTTTTTGAGCTGGTCCAACCATCAATATCAGTTTCACAACATGGATTTGTTCCTGATAAGTCCACGGCCACAAATCTATGTATATTTTCTGAACATGCGTGTGAGGCAATAATTAATAAGTCTCAGCTAGATGTTATATATACTGACTGTGCAAAGGCATTTGACAAAGTAGACCATTGTATTCTGCTGGATAAACTGGTTGATTTCGGATTCTCCAAGGAAGCTTACAGTTTTATGAAATCATATCTTTTTAACAGAACTCAGGTTGTAAAAGTTGCACAGGCTAAATCAGAGCAGTTCATTGCGACCTCTGGGGTACCTCAAGGTAGTAAGCTAGGACCACTTTTATTTATTATTTTTATTAACGATTTACCATATTCTGTAACCACATCAGCCAGTTTGTTGTATGCAGATGATTTCAAACTGTTTAGACCAGTATTATGCGATCATGACTGTAATGATCTTCAGTCTGATCTGAACTCCGTGGTCAATTGGTTTTGTGTGAATAAGATGTCCCTCAATGTTGATAAATGTTCAGTTGTTAGTTTCACTCGAAAACAAAATATTATTATACACGATTACTATGTAGATGGTGTATCATTGAAAAGAAATAGTAAAGTCAAAGACCTTGGAGTAACTTTTGAATCAACATTAAAATTTAATGATCATTTTGTTAACATTGTGAATAGGGCTTATAAAGTGTTGGGCTTTGTATTCCGAAACAGTAGGAGTTTTAGTATTGAAACAATAATAAAGCTGTATAATGCCCTTGTGAGGCCTCATTTGGAGTATGCATCCAATGTATGGTCACCAACAACAGCAGTAGGTATAGATCTAATAGAGAAAGTACAGAAGAGATTTTTAAGGTTTCTTTATGTAAAAAAAAATAACATTTACCCGTATATGGTGTCATATAATTCGATGTTGACAGGTTTTAATATAGAAAGACTGTCTGCAAGGAGAGAGAGACAGGCAATATTGTTTATATACTGTATTATTAATAATGTTAGGTACAGAGATTGTTTTATTGTAAATTATGTTAAGTTTAAGGTACCAAAGGCTAGGCTGAGAATTGTAAATAAAGATTTGTTTTATGTTTGTAATAATATCTCCCCGATCAGCAATATGTTGACTATGTACAATAGATTCTTGGAACAGCATTTGGTGCCTGATTTTTGTGGCTTCAGTCTAAGACATATTCAGGAACTGCTTAAGGAAAGTATTATTCTTTAGAACTTGGCTGTGCTTTTATTCTCTATTTTACATTTTACATTTTAATTTTAATTTTATTTTATTTTTTCTGTTAATTTGTTATTTTTTGTTTTTTGTTGTGTTTTCTATTGTTTTTGTTTTTACTACTCCTTTTCCTGTAATTACTCCAAGAGGGGTGTTTGGAAAGTGTATCTCTAAATAAATAAATAAATAAATAAGTAAAATTAAAAATAAACTGTATCACCTCTTTGAAGAACCTTTTCACTATACACTGGGTGGCAGAGCAACTGAGAGGATGAGAAGCAGATCGAGAACTCGTTGAGACTGCGAGTTAAATTTCCGGCAAAAACTAAGTTATATAGGCAATAACTATAGTCGATAACTAGAGACGATAACTAGTAGCAACAACTTGTGGGCTTGTGGCGAATTGGCGATAACAAGTAGTAATAAATTAGTGGCGAATTGGCGATAACTGAAGTTAACTAGCCTCAAAATCTGCAAGAGGAACCACCCTCTGGGTATCGCTTTGGAAACCCATTGTACCGGGGTTGAGAAAAGGAGAATCAAGAATCGACAAACTCGAAGATCTCCAACCCTCCTAGCTTTCAGCGATTCGCTGAAAGTACCCTCCTGTATTTTTTGTTGTTTTCCCATTGGTTCTCAAGTTCAATCAACTTTCCCTATAGCATTTGACTATCTTACAGTTTACAGTTTACATTTCACCAAAGTAGGTAATAACCCTTGATAATTTTATTGTTATACAATTTGCTATTGTATCTTAAAAATCTAGCTCATGTAATCATTGTTTCGCTCCACACACACATGCCTCGAACCTATGCTCGAACATAATTCTTTCCAGCAACGGTATCAGTTACCTGACATCTGGGTTCGTCATAAAACGTGAGTATTCAGAAGATTATCCTTGACTTTGAATAAATCATAACAACCACATGGGATCTGGTGCAATCTATAGATTAGTTTAAAGTTTACTGTTTATCTAGGAAAACATGATTATTAAAATTAAAAAACGGCGCAGCGGAAGGAGAGGATAAAATCGGAGGTGTATACCCCACTATATTAAAAAACTCAGTCATAATACCTACCTAAACCAGGAAGCAACCAATACAAAGCTCAATTTTTCTTACTCTCCCCGGGTTCTGATGGTATACGCGTCAAAACAATATAAAAGAAACTTATTTAGAAATTATTGATCCTTTGTTGCATATATTTAATTTGATTTTGGAAAAAGGAATAGAGCTAAGTTACTTTAAAATTTCAATAGTTACGCCCATTTACAAATCTGGTTCAGCAACCTCTATCAGCAATTACAGGCCTATAAGCCTGATAAGTATCTAATTTTACTAAATTGTTTGAAAAGTGCCTAAAGAAAAGAATAACACATTTTTTCAAAGATAATAATGTTCTTTCGCCCAACCAGTTTGGTTTTGTTGAGATAGACTCATAACAGAGGTGGTTAATAATTTAAATATAAATAAGAAATGTCTAGCTGTAATTTTAGACTTGGCAAAAGCGTTCGATATTGTACCCCATGACAGACTTCTGGATGTTATGTACACCTTTGGAATGAGGGGGAATGCGTTTGATTTATTGCAGAGTTATTTATCTTATAGATATCAAATGGTAAGACTAAATTCTGTCAAAATAAACATTTCGAGAATATCTTGCTAAAAATTTACAACATTCTTCCACCTCAACTAAAAAAAAGACTTTTAATTATACGAAAACAAAGAATATTTTGGATTCATGGATTGTGACTATGATAACATCTGTTATCAAGTCCCTAATTTTTGAACAGTGACATTGTGAATGTTGATATTGAATATTAAAAAATTCAACTTTAATCCTGGATTGAGTTAATTGAGTAACATTTTAGTTGTATAAGGTTTAAAACTTGAATAATTACCGCTTCGCATAATTTATAAATCGATAATAATGGATTAGATGTCCTTTTGTCCTTATATAATCACAATGGTGCACCCACAGACGATAAGTCTACTGATGTGCCCTTGAATTGTAATTTTTTATTGTACCTATTGTGTACCATTGTGATAATTATCTTTTCTTTGGAAATAAACCTTTTTTGATTTTGATTTTGATGCATTTTGCCTACAGGTTTTTTTGTCAATTTCGGGTTACAACAAAATAATCTTGAAATATAAAATTCGATATCTACTTTTTGGCTTTTAGGTGCTCAAACAAATTAGATCGTTCGCAGAACTCCATGTGTTTGTAAATTAGGGTTACATTTTAACTATCTATAAAAGGAAAACTGTTTCCCACGAAAGATGAACTTGAACCGAGATTATGAATTTACTATGGATTTTGTTACACACTTATGATTTTTGAGCTTTTTGATAAATTCTGAGGATCTATTATTGTAGAACGTTCAAGGTAAAACATAGGGGAGAGTCGGTGAATTGTGCGCACCTAAGGAAAAAGAAAGATATTTTCTAAAATATGGCTCATGGAGCTCTGAAATTTGGCATAGATATTCTTCTGTGTTATAGCTGACAGCCCAAATCAACCAAAGATCACAAAGAAAATATTCTGAGCCTAGGGACAAAATTAGATAAAAACTGACACTGCGCACGATTATCCACCCTATGCGGTTAATGGTGCGCACTAGTCAGGGCAATTGTGCGCAACAGAAAACTATTGAAAACTATCGGATATAAAGGGTGGATTAAAAACAAGTGAAACAAAGTACATAATACGTTTATTGCAAACATAATATTAAACTAAATTATTGCATAAAAACCATAACTAGTGGTCGCAAAAGTCGCAGATGTAACATTCGGGGGAGTCTACCCCAATGCGCACACTGAAACCAGTATTCGTCTTTCTTGCTCCAGTCGTCGCAAACCAAACATCTGTCTCCGAGATTGACCTCCGTGTCATCAAGTTCATCATCATCACATAACTGGCTGTCTGAGACTTCTTCTTCAGATTCACTTTCCTCAAAAACCTTCCTTTTAACGGTCTTATTATTTTTCTTTCTTTTGCGAATTGTGGATTCAGGTATTCCAAACCTTCGCCCAGCATCTCTAATTGCCCCACCATTTGCAACAAATAATATAGCTTTTTCCATTGTATCTACGTCCCAGGTTGCTTTATTTGTTTTTCGGGCATATTTTGGCATCTGAAACAATGAAAATATGTATTCATAATAAATAGTTTTAAAATGTAAGAGGACGGATAATTGTGCGCGATGCGCACAATTAGCCAACATGGACCTAATTGTAATAAAAATTCACAAAAATAAAATTGTAAGTTTTACCTTGTAATAGTAGGAACAGTAATAGTAGGAACCCCACTGATTATTTTGGTGAAATTTCCGAAACAGGAATGTTCTTATTTTCAAAGTTATCGCTTGTTTTCACCCGCTTAAATTTTAATATAAACAGTCGGATGAACCGCCAAACACGATCACCGATATGTTTAAGCAGCAAATCGCATGAAAGTCAGCGTTACTTTCAAAGACATCTATGAGACGGCGCCACGTGTACGAATTTGATCAAATAATCGGCGTTTTCGTATGGTATTATGGTGCGCACCATTAGCCGCTGCGCACGTTTAACCGACTTCCCCCTACTAAAGTCAAATTATTTGAGCATCAAAGAAAAAATAGTTGATTATTCAAATGGAGTTGATTTTTTTAAAGAAAATTTGACAAATCTCTGGATTCAAATTTTTGCCATGCAAACTAAAACTTTGAGCTTCAAAAGAAAAAAAAAAGTTTGCGATTTTCCTCAAACGGCCCGGAGTTGATTTGTTTGGAGAAAAATTTTACAAATCTGGATTTAAACTTTTTCTCAAGAACTAACAGCACGAAAAAAATTGAAGATAAAGAAGATCTAGTGTAGAACGTTCAAGGGAAAACATACTAAAAAAAGAAAATATTTAAGTTTCATGCAAGAAAGTTGCCGATTTTTTCAAATTCATTTGATTTTCTTCAAGGAAATTACCATAAACCTCTGGATTAAAGTTTTTTTTCTCAAAAATTCCCAGAAAGCACCAGACACACCTTAAAGACGTCCACAAACGACATAGCCTTTCAATTTTTATCTATTCCAAATGCTAGGCTCTTTAATTCTTAATTTCTTTCATTCGAAAACATACACAAAATTAATTTTGGAAGAAAAATATTAGAAGAGCCACGCCAGAAGTAAAAAATTTAAAAACAAATCAAGAGCCTGAAATTCTAAAACGGGAATAATGAGAATTCAAGAACTTGGAATGAAATTCAAAAGCCAAAAGAAAATTGAGAATTTAGAATAAAGGAATAGGGAAAAATCAAGAGCCTGGGATTATAAAGATTCAAGAATCTAAATTGAAAGAGAAACATTTTCTTGCTAATATTTCCTTTTTATTACTCACTTTATAACAGTCAATTTTTGTCTACTCCAGACTCCAGGCGCTAGGCTGTCTGAAATAAGGTTTTTAAATGGAAAGTACATTGAAACGTTATAATTGGGGTTATTGAAATTCTAAGGTGTTCTATCTTGGCGAGTTCTGGAACATTTAAGAAGTTTTTCAGTAATTTCTGAATTGTTCGGACAGATTTTCAGGTATTTTAGAACTCTATTGGTGCTCCAAAGTGTTCTAAATTGGTTTAAAAGAGTTGTAAAAGGTTTCTAGTTCTAAACTGAATCCTAAATGTTCTAAAATAACTCTGAAGTTTCTAAATTGTTCCAAAATGGTCCTGAAACTTGTGATTTGGATTTGAACTGCTTTGGAGGTTTTTATTAGAGGTTTAAAGCTCTACAGCAATTTAAATTCGGTCTTGAACGCCTTCTGAAAGGCGTTTTGTAACTTTCAACATGAATCTTAATATTCTGGCGCTTTTAAGAATGTTTTTGAAGATTCTAGAGTGTTGAGTGCTCTGGAGCGTCTTAAAAATACTTATGAATTGTTCTAAAATGCTTTTGGAAATTGTAAATAGGTTTTCGGATATTTTGGAGCATTCTAAAATATGGTTCTTTGAAGTTTCCAAATTATTCTGAAGCGTTACAGAATGCTTTTGGAAATTCTAAATTAAATTTTAAGTGTTTTGAACTTTCCAGAACGCTTATTATAAGGTTCTAAAGTATTCTGTAACATTCTAAATGGTTTCCAGTAATTTCTAAATTGAATGAGAAACGAATTCTGTGTGAAAGACGTCCCTGAGATGTCCACAAGGATATTCACGACCTCTTTCTTACGTCTTTAAGGCATCTTCAGGAATAAGGAATTCTAAAAACATCTTCAACGAGATGTCTTAAAGACGTTTTTGAATCTCTTCTCAATAGAAAAACCATTATTTTACTTATGGACATTTTCAAAACAACGTGTTCTAGACGTTTTTTTCAGTCTTCAGACGTTCAGACATAATGCAGAACTAAAAACGTCTTTGAGACTTTGTGTGCAGTCTGGGATATAGAGAAATTATGGAAGAATTTGGGTCAAGATAACAGGGAAAAATGGGACATAAAAAGACTGACAACAGTAGAACAATAAAACTATCCCGTTAACTGAAATCAAATCTTGAAAATTTGAAATTGTCTTCAACAAATCGATACAAATAGAAGTTCGTATCGCGCCAAAAATACATTCAACCCCCCTAAACGGAGACACGGTGGCGCCATACTGAAATCGAACAAAAATCCAACAAACCACCCCGAACCTGAAGATGTCGCTACCCTTTCGAAATCCTGGAACAGGAGAGCGCCAGAATGGTGACCTACATCCCAACAACAGTGTGACAGCGACGTCCCGACGCTCGACGTCGTCGTTACATCGCGCCTTTTGAATCGATCCGCGGAATAATATATCTACATTTAGCCACCGCAGTTTTCATTTGTATTTTTATAATAAAGTGAAACGATTATTTTTTTGATACATTTTTTTTTTTTTTATTTGTTTTGTGGGTGCCACCCTTTGCCAGTGTATTTTTGTAATATGGCTTGCCTGGACTCAAACCGAAAGCGGATCGAATATATTGTTTGATTTTCTTTTTGTGTGGTAGCAACAAATTTGCCCTTTTATATCGTTTACGAGGGATTAATTTTTAATATTCAGGTGAGCAATTTAATTGTTATTTTTTTTTTGAATAATTACCTAAGTACTATTTTATTTGTGGCTCTCGTATAAGGGTGTAGCTCCCTGAAAAACAATTATCAGAGTGTATTTTTCAAGGCTATTGAATGAAAATCACTACTTTTTTATGCTGGTTCTTTGTTACAAAAAGGCATTAAAAGTGCTGTTTACAAATACTAGAGCAATTTTTGGCTGGAGGTTATTCAACAAACAAAAACAGCGAGCAGGTTTTGTTTAAGAAATAAATTCTAATTCTGTTTAGTTGCAAAATAAATTTGGGCTCATTTCAAAGTCATTTTGATAATGATTGATAAGGGAACATCTGCTGTAGTTGCCTTGTTACTTTCAAATTATTTCCTGATTGACTTCTCTCTGACAGATTGAAAATTTCTAACTCGAACTAATAAAAAAAAAAACTGAAAAAACTCTTTTGCGGTCAAATTTTGCATCATCACAAACTTTATGTTCATAAAGTATTCAAATTAAATCATCTTCTTCTTGTTTCGTTTTATAAGTTAAAATAAGTCAAAACAGAATTATGAATTAGTTAGTACTTTCCCTAACAAGTGCGGAAAGTGATACTTTTCCGGACCGCGCATATAATAGAAATTGTGTAGAAACAAACAACACGTATTTCCTAATGTTGTTAATGTTTCTCATCTATTTCAATAACAAAATATTTTTAGACTAGTTTAATAATAATTGAAATTACAAAAGTATAGTATTGAAAATATCAGTTTTATTTCAAGAACAATAAGAAATTTAATGATGATTATGAATAGTAATATGTAGTACCTATACCTAATGTTAAATCAACAAAAATCAAACTGAACATAAAACCCCATAATGAAAATGAACCAGTAGAAATGGATTTGAAAGAAGAAAAATTTCTATTAAAAAAATTCATTGATAATCTAATTGAAACAAATAAAAACTTAATTGAAAAAAAGGAAATGTTAATAAAATCCCAAATTATTGGAGAAGTTAAAGAATTAGAAAACAAGATTGACATTTTATTGAACAAATTAGGAGGAATACATGAGAAAACTTAAACCAAAAAATCACATACATATAAGGAAACTAAACATGATCTTCAAAAAGAGATTAATACACTGGAAGTGGATGTTTCACTTAAGTATTAAAATGCATGATATTAAGGAAGGTGGAATTGTTATTAAGTCAAATTCTATAGAGAGTATCGAAAAACTCAGAAAAGTGAGCCAAGAAAACCTAAATAGAAAATCCCTTCTTCTTCTTCTTCTTCTTCTTTCTCAACCCGTAGCTATCCACTCCTAAATGTAGGTCTCTCTCTCTCTGTTCTGTGCTGTACTTAAAACCAGTGGTTGCCTGCCACCTTCCTAATGTCGTCCATCCATCTTTTCTGCGGGCGTCCTATGCTTCACTTGTTCTGTCTAGGTCTCCAAACTGTTATTCAATGTGCCTATCTACCTTTATCTAAAATCTGGCCAGGTGACCGGCCCACTGCCATTTCATCTTAGCCACCTCTTGTATTATATCGGTAACTTTAAGTTTGTCTTCTGATATCTTCATTTCTAATTTTGTCGCGAAGTGAGACCCCATGCTTCGTTCCATCGCTCTTTGTGTTGTTAAAAGCTTATTTGTATCTAAATGCTTTTGTTAGGCTAATTGTTTCCAATCCGTATGTTTGCACGGGTAGTACGCAGGCATTATATACTTTGCGTTTTAAATTTGAAGGAATCATGCTGTTTTTAAGAATGTGCTCCAGTTTGCCTAAAGCTGCCCATGCCAATCTTATGCGCCTTTTAATTTCCGCATGTTGATTTTCCTTTCCCAGTTAAGGTATATGTATTCATTTACGCATTCAATGTTATTATCTTGGATGTATATGTTGATATCCTCAGAGCTCATTATTTTTGTTTTACTGTAATTCATGTTTGACCCAATATTCTTAGATGCTAGGTTTAATTCGTTTTAGCATCTCCTGCAGTTCCGTGTCGTTGTTACTTACTAGGAATATGTCGTTTGCAAATCTGAGGTGGTTAAGTACACCTTTTATATATATATTTTTTTTAAAGATAAAAGTCAAATTGACATTATGTTGGCAATACAATGTAAAATTGTCAATGATTTCAAATTTTTTATGTAGAAAAGGCTTGTGTTGCCAACATAGTTACTAAATTTTTGACTTGGGGAATTATCTTTAAAAAAAAACAGACTTTATATCAATGCCCTTAGTGTCCCACTCCTATTTTTTGAAGATGTCTTCGAGGGCCTGACGCACTCCCCTTTCCAATGGTATTTTGTTGGTCGTTGTTTCAACTGAGCTTATATGTATTGTTTCTTCTTTATAAATGCTTTCGATTATTTGGGTGTATCTCGAGTCTATTCTTGCGTTTTGCAAGACCATTAAGATTGACCATGATTCAACCGTGTCGAAAGCCTTCTGGAACCTGGAAGTCAACGAAGGCTAGGTATATAGGTACGTTATACTCTGTGCATTTTTCTATAAGGGTGCGTACGGTACTGTATATAGGTATCCCTTTCTAAATCGCGCCTGTTCAACCGGTTGGTAACAATTCAGTTTTGATGTTAAGCGATTCGTTATAATTTCTGTGAAAAGTTTGTAAAGTTCGTTTCACCAGGGTTCATACTTGACCTTGAAACTTGACAAAAAAGGGTTGTCGTGGATTAATTCATATGACACATTCAATTTTTTTGACAAATTAAAATGAATGACGTCTGGTTTAAGAACCGAAGAACGTTTTTGACGTCATTGATTTGTTTCAGTCAATTTTTATTTGTTAAACAAGGAAGACAAATGCTGGTGGCAAGTACAAACCCTGGTGAAACAAACTTTATATAGATGTGATAGAAGGGATATAAGCCTGTAGTTTTCGACGCTCGTGTTATTGCCTTTTTTTGAACAGTAGTATTACATCAGAGTTACACCATTCAGTTGGTATTTTACCGGCATGAAGACATTTATACAACAGTATTCTTATTGTTTTCTGTAGAGTCTTTCCTCCCCGTTTCAGCATTTCTGTAATGACTTGGTTTCATTTATTTTGATGTTGTGCTTATTTCGCCTTCGGTGATTTCTGGGAGATCTTCAGATCCGACATTCATGAATAGATGGAATGAAAATGAGAAATATAAAGTGGAAATTTCAAAAATTAGATCGCCAAGCAAGATTGGTTATTGTAGGATGTGAAAGTCCCTATAATAAAGGTAATGAACTTTTAAATTATTTGATTATACTTAACTATTTAGTCAAAGAAGATAAATTAGAAATAAAATAGGTATGTGAGAAAATCTAAATACTTAGATAAATACATTATTTATACAGAAGTGAGTGGCAGAACATTTCAAAAACTGAATAATAAAGATATCTATTTGGGCTGGGATAAATGCAAAATCAGAGAAGACCTCAATATTCTTTATAGTTTCAAATGTTGCGAATATGGACATAAAGCAGAAGAATGTTCAAAAAAGGAAGAATGTAAATTCTGTTCAAAAGAACATAGCTATTGGACATGTAAGGAACAAACACCAAAATGCATAAACTGTGGTATAACATCTAACACAAAATTTAAAACCAATTACAAATACACGCGTGAAGCGAACAATGGTGAGAGTTCAATTCATCTTTTAAAAATAGATAAAGGCAAAGAAAAAATAAATCATAATTCCCCTTATTATAATATCATTGGAAATATCGAAATATTAATAAATATTGAACACATAGATAATGTCTGCCCAGCGACTCTGTGTCTACGGGGCAACGGTAAGGGGAATGCAGTTGCAAAAAAAATGGCTGATTTCATTCATAAAATACCCAGCTGCGCGCGGAACTTTTTGGAACTGTTATCGTATTGCAACTCGTACACGAAAATCAGCAATGACCAAATCTCCGCCACTGGATATTTCAATATAAATCGATATTCCAAGATGGAAGAATAAAATGACATGAGCCCTGGCCAATAGCGAGACGTAAGGCTCATTGACAACCGTATGGTTCCTTATGACAACGGCGATCCTGCATCAGGTTCATCCAGGACGGATGCTTGCCAAAATGCCAAATTGTCAAAAGCTGATGGTAGATATCTTTAGAAAATGTTTATTTTTTACAATAGACCAAATTGAAGAAATCAGGATTAAAATAAGGATAGATCTAACAACCACGTTAAAATATTTAGCGTTTTCTTATTGTTATCAATATTTTGTTATATAAAATGGATTTTCAAATTAACTATACTTCATGCCTAGTATTTTCGCTTTTTTATAATTAAACGTGGCAACATGGCACATTTACGTCCGAATTCCTTCCGTAGACTCAGATCCGCTGGGCAAACAATAATAATATTGGTTATAGGTAACTAACTGAAACTTGGGTAAAAATAAATGAAATAAATTTTTGAAATTATAAATCGGCCTATGATACTAGAGATAATAAAAGAGGTGGAGGACTGGGCATATACAGGGTGATTCAAAAGTAAGCGGCATCCTTCCGGGGGCGTATTCCTTGCATAAAAATAAGACAAAAAATTCCTATTAACATGGGTCCGGAAATGCTTCCTAAGGGAGCTATGCCCCTTCGAATAGGACACCTGAAAGACGTATTTTTCTCTATAACTTTGAAACCCTTCACAAATGGATTTTGAAAATTGGTGTATTTTATAAACATTTTATGGCAATTAAGATACTAAATTGAAATTTCATAAATCTTAATCAGTGGCGTCACTTACTGGGGAGGGTGAGGGTTAAAACATCCCTATTTTTTTTTACTCGTCAGGTTTTTGCGATTCTGATTGAAAATTCAGAAAGTTTACAGTTTTTTACATAGAAAAGCTACTCTTGGTTCAATTCGATACAGCATACCCTTTACGAGAAAATTGACTTTGAAAATTTTCTGATTTGCGTATGTTTCGCAAAAACCTGACGAGTAAAAAAAAAATAGGGATGTTTTCACCCTCCCCAGTATGTGACACTGATTAAGATTT